CACAGTAGTTTTGAAGCCCTCTAGTTAACCCCACTGCATTCTCCCTGCCACTCCTTGTTATCTAGGTTCTTAGTTTCACTTTCAAACTTCTTTCTGTGTTATGCATCCTGTGCACACTGGAAATGCTCTTTATGTTTTAGTGCAGTCTTNAGAAGACTTCAGATTTCTACACCGAGACCTACCTTTCAAAAAACACATATAGGTGAGTCCCAGGGCCTGGTAGTTACTGCAGGAAAGGTACAGAGAGAATGGAAGTTGTGAACATGTACCTGAGGTCACCTGAGAGGAAATCTAACCCAACTCACAGCTGAGAGATTGCTGTGGTTCTTTGTTTGATCACTTGGTTAATTAATTAATGTACTTATATAGGATTCTAAAAAGAGAAGTTAATATTGAACTCAGAAAGGCAGATCACTGTTGACTGCACACTGATGGTCACGGAAGCCCAATGGGAAGAGGGAGTGGGAGGCTTAACGGTGTTTTAGTAAAAATAAAACATAAGTCCAAGGACCTTTGCAATTAAGTGCAGAGGAGAAAGAGGGTATTAGCTCTGAAGGGATGTGCAGTTAAGTGAGGGTATTTATTTTTAATTCATGAGATGGCTCATGTTTGAGTATGTTTCTGTATTGATGAGAAATACAGAACAATGGACTTTTTACCATAGTGTCTTCTCTCACACTGGGTATCACAGGAAAAATAATGAATGGGCTAAACTGGTACAAACACAAGCTTTACTTTACAATTATTTCCTTCTCTGTGATGCCAAATATATTGGTGAGTCTCTTAGACATTTGTTCCACTATTGCAAATTGTGCAGATTCTTTGCTTCCTTAGTAGGTTGAAGTGTTTTTATTCCTGTTTGTAATCACATTTCCTAAAAGTATGGTAATTGGTGTCATTTACCACCTTTGATGTTTGTCATTTGGTCCTTTTATAAAACTATAGTTATATTTGGTGGGAAATGTGTGAACATTTATGAATTTTGAGTAGCCAAATCTGTCAGTCAGTCATATTGTGCTCCCGTCATTGCTTTTAAAATGCAGAAAGTTCTTCTGCATGCTTTAAGCAAGTAAATATCCTTTTATGCATATTTACATCGTGATTTTATACCTCTGTTATTCCTTATGTTGCCTTTTGTATTTTTGTGTTTCAGTCTATTTCTAAAAGTTGCATCACCTTCAGCCATCATTTAAAAGGCATTTTTTATCGTTTGGATAAAAATCAACTATATCTTTCATAAGCATATTTGAATCCACATATCTTTTTTAAAAAATAGGGTGAATCCTTGTATCTTTATTTAATATAAATTATAACTTTAGATACTGCTTACTTGAGTCATTAAAAAAAACTTCATATTTATTCTTTTATTTTTAAACCTTTGCAATTTAATCTTGAATTAGTGACCCTTGTTGATGTCATCAAATTACTATTTCATATATTTATATAAAGTTACTTTCAGATTTTTACTCCGTTCTGTTTCATACAGTAGTTTTGAAGCCCTCTAGTTAACCCCACTGCATTCTCCCTGCCACTCCTTGTTATCTAGGTTCTTAGTTTCACTTT